GCATCATTTCAAAAAAAGAAATAAATTTATTAATGAAAAATTTGACTCTTAATAAGATTATCTGAAGATAAACAGTAAAAGGAATTGTTAAACTTTTCAAATCGACTATCATTTTTCTTATGTCACAAACCAGAATGCCAAATACAAGAAAATATTTTAGAAGTAAATTTACATTAAAAATTGGACATTCAATATCTGTCAATAAATATCTTAATAGCTGGATGCAAAATTTATGTGGTAATAATTGGGTAAATAATTTGCACAGTCAATTAGGATTTTCTTTAATATAAAATAAATTACTAAAATTGTTGAATTGTTGGATAACATAACAATTAGATTTATTATAAATTTGATTAAATTTGTGTGATTCTGAAAATATTTAGGACAGATTCGTGTCTATTGAACACAAAATACCCTACCATTTTCAATTTTTTAGAAGAAGCAATTTATTTTTAAGTACAATTGAAATGCCCCTGTCATAAGGGCAGTTCTAATTTCTCACTAAAGAATGGGTTTGTTCAAAATTTACTTATATTGTAATGCTTTTTAGTCTGAGCTTGTTATTTTTTAACTACAATTTACTCCATTTTGATCAAATATATTTATGAAATGCTTTTAAAAGATTCATCAGCTTTGTTATTGCTGGCTATGTCAAAATAGTTAAATCACATTCTTTTCATTCCAAGTTGTTAACATGTAATTACGCTTGTGTGTGTGATTGAAGATATAGGGATGCATAACTTCCAATTTTTAAAGTTTTTAGTGTTTGATTTATCTAGGTGCATAATCTCACCGATTGTATTCAGTTTTTTCCGCTTTTGATTTTGTTTTTATCGTACATATGTTTCTAAATATTTCTCATTGTAATAGGAGTAGCTTTGTCGGGAAAGGGGATATATTGTAAAGCTTTGAATTTAAATTTACAGTGGAAGAATTTGATGAGTTACACATTCAATATAATTTTGGCTTAATAAATTTTATATATATATATATATATATATATATATATATATATATATATATATATATATATATCGATTTTGTTTTTGTTTTCATCACCTGTTATACACTCCAATATTAAGATTTGCCTGCGATTGGTGAAATAGTTTTAAGAACTTTGGACGCCACAATTTGTTGATCGCAGTCGTGATTAAATCTTTTGGTTCTGACATATTTCGTCTTTTTCTGTTTAATTAGAGTAGTGATTTTAATTTTTAACCAATCACATATTTTTAAGTCTCGTTATGGTGAGCAACTAAATGTGTTTAATGGTCGTTTTGGGAATGTAACTTTTTGTTCAAAGGGACGTTCGCAAGTCGCCAGTAAGATTGAAACCGTCAACACAGATCTACGAAACGAAAATCCTTGCGCACAGTTCAGAATGAAGATCAAGTTTTGGTTACATTTTATTGTTGGAACAATTCAATTAAATCTTCGTTGATTTGTTTTAGATTTATCCGCAACAAATTTTAAAGAAATTGATCGACAAAGTTATTCATTCTAAACATGCAGTCTTTCTATTTAACAATTCATTCGGAACATTTATCTCAGAACAGAACTTTCTATCAAACAATTATTACAATCAGTCTACGGTGGTTAAATGGAACAAATTCCTTCTCTTTCATCTACATTGAATCGGAAAATTATTTTTTCTTTTGTCAATTTTATTCAATATATATTTACGATGTTAACAAATTGAAATTTTTTATTATTACTATTCCTAAACGTAGGACAGACCATTAATCTATAAACACTGAGATGGCAACATATATATAATATATATAGATATTATCTTACTTATTAAAAAAATTGATGTGTGTGTGTGTGTGTGTGTGTGTGTGTGTGTGTGTGTGTGTGTGTGTGTGTGTGTAACGTTTATATATTGGATCGGATTTCCTACATTTTTCAACCGATTTCAACAAAACTTCACAGGACTACATAAAATTACCTTGTGGTGGTTCTAACAGCGCCAAAAATGGGAAAATATAATTGTTTTTGCACAAAATCAATTTGAAAACTCGATTAAGAGACATCGTGAAAATGGAAGGGGGACAACTCACATCGGGTTGTTTTTGTGTGTGGGGTTCCTTTAAATATGGGATCGGATTTCCTATATTTTTCAGCCGATAAAACAAAACTTCACTTTTTTTTTTTTTTGGCAGGTAGTGTTTCTTATTCTCTTACACACTTTTTTTCTTTATTTTTAACATTCAGAATGCTTTTAAAAATTCCATTTACAAGACAATTATTTATAATAAAATTCTATTCAATCGGGAGACTCATAACGATTGAAAACAATGTTTTTGTTTGAGTTTGGGTTTGACCAATTCGTAAAAAAAAAACAAAAAAAAAAACTAATTAAGACATGCGTGTCCGTCAACCTTAAACAATAATCTAACGATCTCTACTGATTGTACGAATACAAACATCGGATAAATTCTTTATCTTTAGGGAAAATAATGAAATCTAAACATACACAAGTCCTAACTAAAAATAATAACCGGAACGGGAAACTACTTTAAATACACATGGTGTCCAATTTTTTTACTGTATTCAATAAGTAAAAATCATAAATTGTAAAAGATTATTATTACAGAAAGGCTACTAAATGAATAAGATTTGTTAGATCATAATTAATAAACCCAAATAAAGTTAATATTTTTGTATTAGAAACAACGAGTGGAAAATATATTCAAATCAGAATTCTAATTATGAATCACCACAAGCAAAATATGCAATTTTTTTTACTGTATTCAATAAGTAAAAATCATAAATTGTAAAACTAAAAGATTACAGAAAGGCTACCTACATTTTTCAACCGATTTCAACAAAACTTCACTTTTTTTTTTTTTTTTGGCATGTAGTGTTTCTTATTGTCTTGCACACTTTTTTCTTTATTTTTACATTCAGAATGCTTTAAAAATTCCATTTACAAGACAATTGTTTATAATAAAATTCTATTCAATCGGTAGAGACTCATAACGATTGAAAACAATGTTTTTGTTTGAGTTTGGGTTTGACCAATTCTTAAAAAAAAAAAAAAAAAAAAAAAACTAATTAAGACATGCGTGTCCGTCAATTTTAAACAATAATCTTTGTCAATTTTATTTTTCAGTCTTTTATGATGGTGGATACTTGATCTATCTCTTACTGTTATATCCCGGGCATATATATATATATATATATATATATATATATATATATATATATATATATATATATATATATATATATATATATTATATATATATATATTATATATATATATATATATATATATATATATATATATATATATATATATGTAATATATTAAATATATATATATTATATATAACATATATATATATATAACATATATATGCGTAATGAGGTTCACGTTGCATTCTCAGAACGCGAGGTTTGCCGTTTTTCGGAATTTCGTAAATCTAATTTCGCCGTTAGACATTTGAACTAGTTTATCTACAACACACTTGTATATCGTTATAATGGGGCCTCACATCACGGAGGTGGGCCGGTGTGCAACTGAAACCGTTGAGCGGAAGGCCCCGAAACGGTGCACATTCTCTCCTGATGACCCCAGTTTAAATATAAATTCGAGAGGAACACATCAAAAGAAATTCAGAGAAGTCATATTCCGTAGAGAAGGTTGAAGTGTCATTGGCATGAGGAGCATTACACATTCAGCTCGCTTCAGGTAAGTTTCAATTACTTTCCAGTAATTTCCTTCTTCTTTTCTATATATATACGTTAAATCCTAAGTTTAAGTCGTCTGAAGATCGCGTGAGCGTGAAACTCGGGTTAGGACGAGGGCCATCCTTTCATAGGATTTAACGGTGTTGTTTCTTTGCTCTGTCCAAGCAATCTAGACTTCGAGCACTTTACTGAGAAGGTACGTTTGCCTTTAAGCTTTTTTCTTTTTCTTTTTTTAGTATTGTTTTGCTCTAGACTTTATCTGGATAAGAGTTTTAAGTTGTCCGTTAGTTCTATCAGCGGTTTTGATTTTCTTTAATAATAAACAGATATATATATATATATATATATATATATATATATATATATATATATATATATATTCAGTAGGGTTAATGTTAAGACTATATTCTTTGATCACCCCCCTCCATGATAAGGTTTATCTTTATAGCAGATGTTAAAGTCTTTTCTATGTCTGTATAATTATAAACTCTATGCATGGGTAATAGATATGTAAACTAAACAAAGTAATGAATATAAACATTTTATATATATATATATATATATATATATATATATATATATATCACTTTAAACATTATTTTTAGTGGATACTCATATTTGAATAGACGCTCAGTTTATTTATTAAACAGTTTTTTTTATTCATTTTTGTCTACCATCCCCAAAATTCGAAAAATCTTATTAAAGAAAAATATGCGCTCTACGGCAGGATGCTTCTTTAGAAATTGCAATTTATATATTTTTCTTCTCTTCCAATATTGCCCGGTCTTTTGAACAGGAGTAGAGGTTTATCCCTTGTTTCATGTTCCTTAAAGTCTACTTCTGCATTAGTGACTAAATGTCTCCAACTAATTAAAACTTGACAACTAGAGTTGGCCGTTGTCTTTCACTTCCCAAGAACTTCACATTCCCTTTTCTTATGCTAACTAATACAACACGACACAGTAATCCTCTATCTTGAGTGGCTCTTGGGATTTGTATTGGTTGAAAATTAGTATATAAAAAAATAAAATAAAAATAATATATTATTGTTGTAGAGATGGAACATCTCTCGCGCCACTTTTTTTTAACTTCCATTTTCTCGAAAATGAACAAGTTCCCAAAGAAATGAAAATAATTTTCGCAAAAATCAGAACAAACTAAATTGTAAAAATACATTTTCATAGAAAAATATCCATTTTAGCTGAACCGAATCTTTAATCCTGAAAGAATATTGTAAACCAAACATTAAATGAGCCATCACCCTATTTCGGTGTCAACCGAAAATTGTTTCCAATCATACAAAGCGTTACGTTAATCGTAGCACCAGAAATGGTGCTGATGGAAAATTACGAAAGAATAAATAAAGCTTGGGAAGTTATTACTAATGTATTAATACCTTCCTCTGTAAGTATTTTATATGCCTCATCTGTTTTTCTTGTTCCAAGTCTATCATTTCCAAACACGTGCAGAAATACTAGGTTAACGTTGTGTTGATGAATTTGAAAACGAATTAACCCGCCATGTCATTTCACATTCTTGAATATGCAGTATTTTATTCTGTTTGAACAGATTTATTTGTTTTATTGTTAGTATACTTTGTTAAATATCATTGTTCACTCTCATTGTCAATGGCTTTTGTTGGTTAAAAATAAAAAAAGACTAAGAAAAGTCTTAAGAAAATAAGAGCATAGAAATGTAAAAAGTTTGTTATTTCCCTCTAAATACGTTATATTTTATTCTGCTTTAGACTGTAGAGAAATTTAAATTATAAGTATTAATTAGATATTTAAATGTAAAAAACGAAATGTTACATAATGAACTTTTAAAAACTAGTGTGTAGTGTAAAATAAAGTTCAAAAAGTTTTTTACCCAGATCTAGAATTTTCAATTTTCATTCATTGAAAGATTTGTAACATAAATCCTGTAATTATCATACTGAAATTTTAAAGCTAACGGACGTTTTTAGTAACGAATTAAAAAAAAAGTAAGTGTTATCTTGAAAAAATAGAATATTCAGAAAAATAAAATACTTGTTCTGATGGTGTATTTTTTACCCTCATTAAAAAAAAAAAAAAAAAGAGTTCCTATTTTCTGATGTTGTTAAAACCTGTCCAGAGACTAAATATAAGTTACATTTCAACATCTGAGTATTGAAAGATGCTAAGATTTAAATCATTAAGCTATATAAATGTTTATAATTTCGATATTTCACCAGAAAAATGTTTTATTTCTACATTCAAAATAGTATCACGGACTTATGTCGAAAAAGCGATGTTGCCTCCCTTGCTTTATTTCTTTTTCTATTTACCAGTTTCTATCAAAAAATTTTGCAGTTGTCAAATTTCTGCACAATATTTTCCGTCCCTCTTCAAACCTGTTGGATTAAAAAAAATATCCCTATGTTTGTAACTAGATCTTTAGGGGTAGTTGTACAGTAGACACTGCAACCAGAAATAATGATTTTTCTTTTTTATTAAGCACTCCAAATCACAAACCATTATTATTTTGTTTTAAAATAAATTAATTTTTTAAGTAAAAACTTTATAAAAGTCGATCGGCTGTTCCAGTTTACAATGGGAATTGAACACCCAACGAAAGCCAAAAAAACGATGTTCATACCATGTGATTTCTAAACTGTAAAAAAAAAAATTAAAAATTGACATTCGATTGAATGAACACTATTACTATGATTTTTTTTTTTTTTTTTTTCTAAGAAATTATGTTGCATATTTGTTTTGGCTTCTATAGCTGGATTTTTACTTACAATGAATTTACAATACCAAACTGGAATCTCCCAATTAAATTTTTTTTTTTTAATATTTGTGGTCTGGACTGATTTACTAACAGCTAAGTTTTTACACTGCCCTTTAAACAAATTTTTGGGTTATGCTGTTTAGAAAAATCCACTAATTTAATTTAATGCTCCTTTTATTTACCCTGTTTCTTTTTAGACTTTAATAAAGTCACTTGATTCACCTAATTGATTCTTGGTCGAAGAGAGTGGGATGTGCTTTTCTTCTTTTTTTTTTATGTAGACCCTTTGTTGCCATGTACATTTTTAGCACCTCCAAAATGAAACCTAGTTTCATCATGTCAAGCTCTCCACTTGGTATTTATTCTTGCTTGAGCCCACTCTAACAGAATTTGACACAAGAAGAGTTTAAATGGGTGTCCCACACATACATAGGAATGAGGAAGCAAAAATAGTGAAACTGCTACTTTCATATCGAGACGATGAGGAATGAACCCCAGCTCTCCCTCTTTAATAGAATGGAAGAGTGGGAGAGCAGGAACTTTGTTCTGGGTTAACTCAAATGATGGGTGCACCTCCAAAAATCTACTTGACCAGAGCCTAGCAGCTAATCTCTCTAGCCTTAACAACACAATTGAGGGAAAAAGCTGTCTGGTCACCAAACCAAGTGATCAAAAACCAAACATGTAATGCTCCATCATCACCAAACAGCTGTTGAATTTCAGTCTATCTCAATAAACATGTCTTCTCTCAGGGAGACCCCTTGCTTTGAACACTTATTGGGACTTAACCTCACCAGACCTCATATATACAATCCATCACTGGAAAAATGGTCAGTTCCCTGTACCACTTTAGTAAGTATCTGACTCCTACTGGTATAATTTATCTTTACAAGAACTAGATCAGGCCCAAAATGGATTACTACTGCCATATCTGTTCTGGAGCTGTCCAGCCTTTGCTTCCTGGTCTTGATAGAGAGAGAACAAAAACATCTATGCTGCTTTGTGGGTGATGAATTGTTTTACACCATACAACCTCTTCTTCGACAGATGAAACATTGCAAACAGGGCCAGATTATGACCTTTTGGAGCCCCTAGGCTAATAAAATTATACCCACCCCCTCAGACAGAGCCACCTTCTAACTCGCCTGTATATGTCTTTAATATTTTTTATTCGTGACATATTTTAGCAACATTTACATAGCTTGAAGTAAACTTATTGAAACTTCTTTAAATAAACTGGATTAGCTATATTTTGTTTGTTAATTAGAATATTCTTTAAAAAAAAACACCACTATTTTACTATTTATTACAAACCAAATTAGCACCTATTTCAACACAACCATAGTAAAATAACAGATTTATTTTTATAACCAGCATTATAACCAGGCTTGAGAGTCTCTAGGCTGCAGCCTATACTAGCCTATAGTATAATCTGGCTCTGGTTGCATGCCTTTCACTACTCTCTCAATATTTCTATGGAAATTATTCAGGCAAGCTATATTTCTTAGGTTCCCACCCCCAATTCTAATTCTCTCAGTTAATGCCATATACATTGAGGTGAACTACCCTTATTTCCTTTGTATTCCTTTAGTGTTATGGAGTAATTTCACAGTGGAGGCTTGTATTTGTACTAAGTCGGTCCTAAAATATGTTTGACGTACAAAACGTTAGGAACTTCATATAATAGGTATGATGCAGAGAAATCTAGTCGTGGTCGCTGATACTTTAGTATTCAACTAACGGCCGTCCGGCATCAACTGACTGACCAACTCACTTAGCAACTGACTCGTTACTCTTACTACTCCTACTTATTATAGGTGGGAGAGTCTATTAACTATAGAATAGGTGTGTTCCACTATAACATTTAGTAAGGTGTAAGTTTCACTTGGATAGTTTTTTTAAAAAAAAAAAAACTATTGTTGTGGAACAGAACTCCAGACAGGTGCTTTCTCAAATCCTATGAACCTAACCTCTTCAAATCTAGGGTGAAATGTTATCTTTCCCACCTATCTGCATAATGTGCAACCCTTACTATTATTGCTCATTCTTATGGCCATGTTACATTAAAACACCAATTCCCTTACGATCACCGAAGTTAAGCCACGTCAAGCTTAGTCAGTACCTAGATGATAGACCTTGGAAATACAAAGTGCTATAAGCTTGGATGTGTGGGTGGTGCAATGGATAATGGCTCGGAATTGTTAATTGGACAGCCGAGTTCCAATTCCTGTTGGGTTCGTTATATTCACTTGCACGCAAATACCCATACTACTTCTCCCCCAGCTATGGTACCACTAAATCATTACTATCTCCCCTAAAAGTTCTTACCATCTAAAAATATTTTCTGGTTTTAAATAACCTGCAAAGGGTTGATAAGCAATAGAAACCAAATGAACCAATTTTGTCGCTCACACAACAACCGCATTCAGTAACTCTCTACCTTGAGTGGCTCTGGGCTATATATAAAGTGAAAAAGAAAAATACATAAGTCATGTTTGTCCTTTTACTATCCCTCCCTGTCTTTGTTCTACCATTCATTTACACAATCTCATTAGGTAGACAAGTTATTCAATGCTTCCCTCTGCCCTTTCTTCATTATTACTTTTCTGATCTAATTGCATATTCTATCAGAGGATAAACTTTTAACAATCACAACTTCAAGGCATAAAAGTATTTATTTACTCCATAGGAGATGGAAAAAATAAATTTCAATTCACTGCTGGAGTTTATTTTAACATATGAACATTAACAAATATTAAAAAAGTATGCAATTTATTAATATCTCAATATATATTAATAATTTTGTGTATGATATTAATGAACAGAATATTGTCTTTTGAGTGAGGGCAATGTCATCAGCATTAAATTTTTAACAAAATCAGTCACACTTTATTTGTTCATTATATCATTTGTTTATTTAAATTCTTTTTTTTTATTTCATGTTATCCTTCTTCTTATTCTATGTGTTATGTTCCTTCAGGATATGGGCAATAATGGCATCCATAATTTCCTGTTCTTTATAGCTCTTCATAAAATTTGTCATTTTGCTATTTCTCCTAATTCCTGTTTTGTCAAGCTCATTAGACAAGTTATGCACTGTTTTCCTCTGTCCCTGTTGCCTTCAATATGTTCTATGAGTGTCAAATTTTCTAAGCCCTCTTTCCTCATTATATGCCTGAGAAATTTCAACTTTCTTTTTCTAATGCTAAATATAAGTATCCTTTTTGTTTCAGGGAGACATGTTATATGTATAATACTGTTTATATGTTTTTTGCTTCTAAAACTCCAGGGTTTTTTTTTTATTTTATTTTATTGTTTATTTATCTATTTTTTTTTTTTTTTTAAAGAGTTTTTATATAAATTTTTGATTTCATTTTGTTTCTAGTAACTGTAATTTTACACATTTCATTATCAACAGTAAAGTTGTGAATCATGCACTAATGGAATTATTTCAACTAAAACTGATTTAGTGCATTTGAAAAGTTGTGGTCCCAAAACATCACACTTGCTATTAACCTGAAACAACCAACTATTTTAATTAAATATAATAAAATAATGGTAATTTGTTCGTTAAAAAAAAAAAAAAAAATGGTGTATCAACAGGACTGTCATTCCTTTGACACCACTATTATTAGTGTATGCACATTTTTGACTGCCTCAGCAATTTTTATTTACAAGAATATAAAAATATGTAAACCAAGTACAATGTGATATTTATTATTTACTTTTTATAAAGATTTGTTATTTCCTATTTACCAAGAAATAAATTTGAAAAGAAAATTTTTTTATTCAAAAATAATAAAATTATCAAAATATGTAAACCAACTACAAAGCAATATTTATTATTATTCCATTTTATAAATAACTATGAAAACAAGTTTTTTATTCATATTATTAAAATATCAATGGACCATAAAACAAGAAAATTTAAATAAACATTATCTATTTTGCTTTTTAAAACAAACATTGCTAAGGGAGTCTAACGTGTATACACTATACAGTAATAGTGGTGTTTAAGGAATAATTGTCCTTTTGTCACACCTTTTTTTTGGGGGGGGTGCATGAAGGTTAAACATTGCCAAAATAATTTATAATAAATTTATAATGAAATAATTTTGCCAAAAAGCTGAAGTTGTTGCACTTCACTGCATTAAAGAATATCTCAGCAAACAAAGAATGTTTATTTTGCTTAAACATAGGAAGATGTTTTTGAACCATTAAATTTTCTAATACCAAGAAACTTTAGTGATTTTCCCTTCACACGCCATTATTATTGAGTATGAATCTAAGAAAGTATGAATGACTGCACTAACAAGGATTTACATTTCATTGAAATAGAATTTATAAATGTTTAATTTTTATTTTAAATTTCAATATAACTTCATGTTTTCCCTTCTTTAAATTAAAACAAGCTCTTAAAATAGTTTTAATTTAATTGCATTTGCTATTATGGCTATAGGGGCTTATTAGGATTAATACATATAGAATGGGGTGAACTTTGTTCCAGGTTAACTCAAAAGTATGTATGTCAGTATGTGCTTCTTAGGGGCACAACTGATTCTTCACTGAAGACATTATAAAAATCTTTGATTATATTCTGTTATTTCTCTTTCTATTTCCAAAGTTGGGCTCTCAAGCCACCCAGCTGACTGAAGATGAAGAAATCAAGTTCCAAGAGGCTGTTGAGATAATGCACGAATCCCAGCTGACTCGAATTATTGAGGATTGGTTCATTGAATGTGTTCAGAAGGAAATGCAAAATGTGGTGGTACCCAAATTCTGGGATTATTTTCATGGGGACTGTACCAGTACCAGTGCAGGTACTGAACAACCCCCTAATTTTGTAGCATCTGTTGAGTACCTCTATGCAGAGCTGGACAAGTATCAAAAAAGTATTGAACATGTTGAAGCCATTAAACAGAAATATCCTTATCAGACAGGTAGAGCAGGAATACTATTCAAGAACTCTTTGAAAGAGACCATTACCACACATTGTAAAGCAATGCTTTTCACTGCAAGAGACCGAAAAATCTACAAGGCTACTGAAGATTTTTACATGAAGGCATTCAAAGTTTATCAAAATGATCAAGGTAACTTTTATAATTTTTTTTTTTTTCTTTCTGTGGAGTGAGTAATAAATAAGCAACAGGACTGTCCACCAAACAACAATTTGACAAAGTTTGTAATAAATAATAACAAGAAAAGAACAAGGCAAAAAATAATATAAAGCAAGTAAACAATTTATGCAAGGCAAATTAATAATAACAAGGCAAAGCAACAATAATATGGCAAAAAGTTCACAAACTAAGAATTGGGGTTGACACACAAAAGCAAGATTGGACAAGTGAACATAGTGTTCTGACTTCAAAACAAGACAGACTGAGACTGAGTCAGATAAAATTGAGAAACGGCCTATTAGCTGGAAAAAAATCACAGCATGCTTTTGTGTGCTTCTGCCTATAAATTGAGGAGTGTTTTGCAGTCATTCCCATGAGGAATGAGTATATTGTATTGAATGAATGGGTGTTGATTGTGATTGATTTGGATAGTTACTGAGTACCAGCCTTTCCCTACATCCCCTTTGGCCTTGTGCCACAATTTTGTATTAAAAATGCAAAATAAATATGCATTCTCATGGAGACTGAAACCAAGACTTTTCTTCTTTCATCCATCTATGGTAGTCCATTGATATGACAGTAATCTACAATGTGAGTTGTTGTTGTTGCATTGATGGCTACTTTGGTAGCCAAATTCTAGAGCACAGCAGCTATGAGTGTTGTGTTTTATGCATTTGTATCTTTTGCAATGGTACTCTTCGTGAGTGCAAATGCATTTGACTTAAAAGGTTGCAACATTTGGCATGCAAATTTGGTGCCATACTGCTCGGTCAGAAGCTAGGTTAGCTGCTAAGGAGGTTGGTTCACTGAGTCGTGCTTGACAATTTTTCTTGTCAGAATTCATCTTGCATATTTATAAATCTATCATTCATCTATGCATTGAATATTGTTGCCATCTCTGGTCTGGTGCTCAGGCTAAATATCTCCATATTCTCAATGTCTAAAGAAGGGTCTGTAATGTAATTGATCCTGACCTGGCATCTTGACTTCAGTCATTTTCTCACTACCATGATGTTGTTTCTCTCTGTCTTTTCTTCAAATATTTTCATGGCAATTGTTCTGATGAGCTTTTTCTATGTATTTGGTCTGGTGCTGTTAATATATATCTTGTGTTTCTTCACAAAATCCAAAGAAGAGTCTGTAATGTAACTGATCCTGACCTGGCATCTTGACATCAGTCACTTTCTCACTATCATGATGTTGTTTCTCTCTGTCTTTTCTGTAAATATTTTCACAGTTGTTCCAAAGAGTTCTCCCCCTTTGTACCATGACCACATGAATTTAAGCGTACTACTAGATTAGCTAGTAAGTATTATTGTTTTACTGTTGAAATAGTAAAATGTAACTGTAAGATCTATCTAATCGTTTTTTCTCGCACTTCTTACCTGTAGAACTCTCTTCCAATTTCTTGCTTCCCTGCAGCCTACAATCTTCAAAAATTTCAATTCAACTTCAATCGCCATCTTCTGTCTTCCTGAATCTTTTTTGTTTTTTTATTGTGCTTTCTCCTCACTAAAATCATCTTATTCTCTTCCAATACCAGTAATCCCTTGTGACTTTGCATCATTATCAACTTGCTTGGGGGTGAAAAGACAGAAATTAACAAAAAAAAAAATCATCATTTATAGATATCTTCCATTACTTTAAGATGGAATTGATGTGGTCTTTATCTAACTGCTTCTGGCCTCCAAATGGATGCTAGCCTTGAGCCACTTTGTAGGATGCACACCTTGTAATTTGCCTAAATTAAGAAAGGTATTGAAGAAATTAATAATGTATATCAATATTTTTGACAAGATTTCAACTCCTTTTTCTTGTATTTTAATACAATTAATACAATATTTTTAATGTTATTATTTTAATATATTGTTATTTCCTGCTTGCTGAAATAATTAAAACATAAGTCTGTTTTGTTAGGTTTTGAACTTCAATGAATTTTCAAGTTTGATTTTTTTCCCCAAACCATTTACAGCTTTTTTAAATCATTTCACCCCAAGCAAGGTGATAGTGTCACTAGGGTGCAAAGGGTTACTGGGAGTGGAAGAGAATGAAAATATTTTAATGAGAAGAAAGGACAATAAAAGAACAGGATTCAAGTAGACAGAAGATGACGATTGGCATTGTATTTAAATTTTTGAAGATTGTAGAAGGCAGGGAAGCAAAAACAAAATCAGAAGTGAGTTCCACAGGCAAGAATTGCAAGAAAAGAAACTATTAGAAAAGAACATATGGTTGCATCTAGCTCGTTCAATAGTAAAATGGTGAGTACTAGTTACCAATTTAGTAGCACACTTAAATTCATACAGTCAAGGCACCAAGGAGGAAAGCTTATCAGAACAATTGCTATGAAAACATTTGTAGAAAAGACGGAGGGAAGCCACGTCACATCAGTTAGAAAGTGACTGAAGTCAAGATGTCAGATCAGGATTGATTACATTACAGACCCTTCTTTCAATTTTGTCAAGAATCTTAAGATATAGAGTAGAATCACTAGATCAGATATATTTTAGAATTATTCACAGTAATCAGCCGAGCACATTTGGTTTACCATCTGAGAGCACTTGAGATCATTTATATTAAGTCTAAACAGCCTTTCCTCTGTAAGCAGATGGAATTGCTGCTAGGTCTAAATGTAATCTGTCTGTTTTATACTGCTGACTGTTTGGTAGTTTTTTTTTCTCCGTCCTTTTTTAGTCATTATCCACATATATGTTTTGCCTCTAAAGTGCAAAGAGCAATAACCAGTTAATCTTTTTTTGTTTTTATATTTTTTGATCCACCACTTTATGGGGATGTGTGGGTAGTGTAATGGATAGTGGCTTTGAATGAAAAATTGGAGAGCTGAATTTGAATTCAAGTTGGGTTTGATACATTCAATTATGCACAAATACCCTTAGGCAAGGTATGGATCCATCTCCTCCAGCTATGAGTTAAATAATAATTGGAGAGCTCAGAATTCCAGTCAGTTTTGTTACATTCAGTTTCATGCAAATACTCTTGGGGAAAGATATGGATCCATCTCCTCCTACTCCTTCAGCTATGAGTTAAATAGGACTTGTATATGGAAAAATCATTGTTAATCTCAAAAAAAAATTTAATTGAATTCAATTATTCTTACAATGAAAATTTTTCAGCTTTAAATAACCTACAAAGGGTTGATAATCCATAAAAAAAAAACAAATCAGTCACCACTTTATAGTGGGTAATTTTTGCTCTTGTTCCCCCTTTGTTTTATATATTTTTGTATATATTTATATATACTTTTAAAATATCTTTTTCTAAACCCCTAATAAAAATTTTGTCCCTTACACAAATTATTTAAGTATTTTACTATTCTTTTCAATCAATTTAGAAATCAGTTCAAATCTTCAAAAATTTAAATATGATTCTCCAAGAGGGCATTTTTATTAATAAAATAACTTTCTTTTAAAAATAAGTTTCTTTTTAAATCTCTGGAAATTCATTCAATTCTGTGTAAAGTCTTCTTTAGGATTGGGTTTCTGGTTCAGTCTAAAGTTTCTTCATTCTCTTTAATTCCCAGTAACCCCTTGCATCTTAATGGCATTATCACCTTACTTGGGGTGAATTGATAAAAATGTATGTTTTCATCTTCAGGTGATGAAGATTTGGATGAATCCATTAATACAGAAAGATGTGCGGGTTGTGAGGAAAAACAGGACAAATGTAAATGTACAGAATTCATGCAAACATTTCACACCATCAACAGAAAACTGTAAGTGAAAAATACTTCAATAGAAGTGTCTTAACAGTTTTATTATTTTCTTGTTATATTCATGCTGACTGTAAACATTCTCCCAATTTTGTAGTAGCAGTAGAATACTTCTACTCAAAACTGGACAAGTATTAAAACAAAAACCAAAAGAAAAACGTCCTGGGTATGATGATAAACCCCATCTGGCAGCAAGGACTCTGATTGGGAGTTCTGAGGAATATAGAACCACTTCTTAATTGCTATTAATATCAGCAAATATTTTATACTGTAATATTAACATGTAAAACATTTCTTTCTTCCTATTACAAGTTATCCAGTTGAGCCCTTTTTTTTCTTTATTTTTTAAATTGGGTCACATTGCTAATATTATTGCAGAACTATTCGATAGAAACTTTTTTTAAATGATTATTTAAGATATTGCATATTCAGGCAATTTATTAAGACTTGAAAAAACAATTAATCTTACAGAAAATATTTCTTGATTTTAATTTTATTAAAAATAATTTTTCTTATTTTAGTGATAAATTAAATTTGCTAAGCAAAGTGGCTGGGTCTTGTATCACAACAATTGTCCATAGAACAACAAAACAGCACATTGAATATACTTGTCGAGGAAATGTTGAGACTTCATTTTTGGAAAGTTTAGAAAAGGTAGGTTGATTTTGTTTTTTATTTCCTTTTAGTTACCAACTTCCAGTATTTTATTTACTTGCTATTACCTTAATTACCATCTATATTTTATGGTCTTTTTACTACAATTCATATATATTATATAATACTCTAAGTGTATCTGTGAAGTTAGTTTCCTTGTCTAGTTATCTCCCTTCCAGCGCTAAGCAACAGTATCATTACAGCATCAGTCAGTCAGTTATGTGCCATTCATGATACACGCTTAGGCGATCATGTATCTTTCGATACATGACTGACGAGGCAGATTTTTTTCCTACAGTAGGTTGCCATTTCTTTCTACAGTAGACCAGTTGCCACCCAAGGCTATAGAACCCAGTCTGTCGTGCTATTTACCCATAGCTAGGGGGAGAAGAAGAGGATTCATACCTTTCCCAAGTGTATTAGCGCGTAAGTGAATGTAATGGATTCGACTGGAATTCGAACTCTCCTCTCCAATGACAGAGTACAACAATGATAATGGAAAGAATACATTTAAAGACTCACATGTGGAAAACTCGTAATAATAGTAATGACTTAACAAAATATGAAGTCTCTTTTGGTGACATAGTTAAACAAGTTACTATATAATATTTTAATTTTACTTTTGCTATCTATATTTCTGAGATGAAGTATTATGTACGTTATTTACATTTTTCGGACTATTGTCCTCATCTTTGTTGCCATATTTATTACAACGTTTCAGCTGTTGTACGCTCAGGCCTTCTTCAGGTAGTTGGAATGTCGAACTGAACCCTTTATTTCGCTCACTGGGGTAGACTGCTCTAGTTCCACATGCCATGTTTGATGGATGTCAGTTATCAGTTATCTCCTGTTAATTTCCCTCTGAAAGTTCTCCACTGCCTTAACCGGGTATTGAACTCACACTCTTTTGGGTACTGTCACTGGATCTAACCAACGCCTTTATCCACTGTGCCATGTGTCCTTGAGGAAGAAGAAGGCCGGAGTGTACAACGGCTGAAACATTCTAATAAATATGGTGACAAAGATGAGGACAATAGTCCGAAAAATGTAAATAATGTACTTTTGGTATGTTTAATGGATTTTACAATTTGTCTGTATATACAATTTTTTTTTTTTTTTTAAATCAGTTCACCCTGATCAAGGTGATAATACCAGTAAGATACAAGGGGCTACTGGGAGTGAAAGAATTAGATTTTAGAAGGAACTAGAAATCCAATTCTAAACAGGAAACAAGAGATAAATCTCTACTCTTGTTCAAAAGACTAAGGTGGAGGGTGAACCAGTCAATAGACAAACCTATCTACTCCTATTGAAGGGAAAAAAAATAGTAAATAAAATTTCATAGTTTAGGCAGAGACACTAGAAGTATAAAGTTCGTGTAAACTTTAGAAAGAACTGGAAACCCAATCCTAAACAGGAAACAAGGGATAAACCTCTACACCTGTTCAAAAGACTGGAATGCAGTGTGAACCTACCTAGGGAAAAAAAAAAAATAAATAGTAAATATATTAATACTAACAATATGAATAAAGCAATTGAAATTAAGATGAAAGAAATACTAGCCAAAGATTAATTATGGTTAACATGACTTCATCTCTATACTAAATTGTATTTTATTAGTTATTATTATTAATATATTATTATTATTATTATTTATTATGTTTTTTTTAAATGGAATTTTCATTACTATGTTAATAGTATTTTTATTATGAGGACATAGTATTACTAATCAATTAAACTTATTGCTATATGATCGTTGTTATTATTGTAGAGTTAGAATTTTGAATGTAGTTTTTCATTACTTGTTAAAATTTACTAGTTCTCTTGAATATAATAATTAGTAATAGTTAATTTATTACATTTTGGTATATACTTTTTGCTTAATTGAGCTTTTAGTTTTCCAATTCTAATATTCTAAGATTTATGAAAAAACATCAAGGTTTATAATGATCTGCTTAGTCATTTCTGCATTTGTCGATATTTATCCCTTTTTTATTTATTAAGAAAAAATAAATGCCCAAATCATAAAAAAAAACAATTAGGATTATTTTTATCATTTCTTTTTCTTTTCTTTTCATTATTATTATTATGCTATTACTAACATAGTACCCATCCATGACAAGATCCTTTACATATGGATTAGCAATTCTGTATAGTATCAGAGTGTAGTATCTATGCACTCTGAAAAGTGTTACACACACAATATATCTATGAATATATATTTGCAATAAATCAATACAAATTTTATTGATTTATTAAATATTATAGAGCTAATTATCTATTGAGTGCTTTTTGGCTAAAGTTCTGCTGCCCTGAAAAATATGTTAAATTCTATAATTTTCACATATTTCTTACTTTTTTTAGTTATATTATTAATATTGTTTTATATATGTAGATTATTATTGTTACTATTATATAGTTGATAACTTAGAATGTCTAACATTGTTTTTCATTATTGGATACATTTAGTAGTTTTTTTCATGACTGTAGGTTCTTGTTTACTCGTTGGTCTTGTTATCTCTTTAATGTGTTACTTTTTTCCGAAATTAATAAAAGATTATAAAATCTCTTTTATTAATCCAATTTTTCTTCCTTTACATTTTTTCTTTTTTTTTTTCTGTGTTAAAACGTTGTTTTAAAAAATATATAATTTATTTTTTTGTTGTTTATATTTATAAATGTTTGTTTATATTTCATACACATTTATTTTTTCATTCTAGTGGTTGGATAAGAAAGTCTTAGGATGGTTAGACTTGGTTTGGTGTTCTGACCAAATGAGTCCCACACAGCTGCAATCATTGAAAGAATTTAAAGACACATTACGACAGTACATGTATGAGAATTATGCACGTACACTTATTGACCAATTATTTAGTATCATTATTGACTATCCAGAATCAGAACCAGCCATTCTAGATCTCAAGAGTTGTTTAATGAAGACTGACCTACGATCACACTTGGTAGTATCACTCAAAGATGCTTTAGAGAGCAGACTTTTACATCCAGGTTGGTTTTGTGTTCTCTAAAAGAATTGATAGTGAAGCTTTTAAATTTTTTATGCATTTTAAGTCTTTTCTTTTGATTTTTTTTCTTTTTTAGAGAACTGAGTTTGAATTCCAGTTGAGTTCATTGTATTCACTTAGACACAAATACCTTTGAAAAAGTATGAATCCATGGGTTAAATGTAGGTACCTCCATGAAATCACTAAAAAAAATCAGCATACCGTGATGAAAACATGCTCCAAACATAATGAAAATATAGTTTTATCATCAAAATCTTCTGTTTTAATTTCTTCTGGTTTTTGTCACTTGGAATAATCTTCATGGAATTTAAAAATAAATCTTTTATTCAGTCTACAGGAGTAGATTGTTTTTGTTCTGCTGTCCATGTCTAGGGGTAACACATCTTATTTTAGTACTGCTCGGTTATTACTCACCCCATTTACATTGACATAAAAATAATCTACCCAACACAGATTAAATAAAGGGTTCAGTTTGAAATTCCTTGAGGGTTACTTGAATTGACAAGTACCTTAAGAAGACCAAAGTACACGATAGCTAAAACAACGAGGATAGTTGTCAGTATAAATAATGGAAATAAATATAAGATTGCCAATCTGAAAGAATTATCACTTTATAACAAAAACATGTCTAAGACATTTGAAGAGATATTGCAGAGATAACATTACCTAAAAATTGAGTTCCTGTCTCTGCAAATCATTAAAAAAAAAATAATAATAAGTAAAAATAAAACTGTATCATGCTTTAAAAATTCCAGTCAAATTTGTTACATTCACTTATGTGCAAATACTCTTGAGAAAGGTATGAATTTCTCTCTTCTCCACCAGCCATAGATTAAATAGTAGTACTTGTATCTGTAAAAGTCATTGTTATCTCATAAAAATTGTTAATGCAATATTCACTTGCAAAGAGAATGTTTCAACTTTAAATAATCCACAAAGGGATGATAAACCATAAAAATAAATTAAATCAATCAGTCCAGAGAAAAAATAATTAAGCATTTCTTTATTCTCTTTTGTGAAGGTGTGAATACTTCAAACATCCTTGCTGCTTACATCTCTGCAATCCGTGCTTTACGTGTATTAGACCCTGCTGGTGTGATTCTAGAACTTGTTTGTGAACCTGTCCAGAAGTATCTCAGGTAAGACTATATTTTAGCCTAATGTTTCTCAGTGTGTGTGTTTGGGTGCTTCAGAGCACCACAGGATATTAAACACTTTGTCACTACTATAATAGACTGGTCCACTCATGAAAAAAATTAATTAAAAAAAAAAAAAATAGGGTTTAATTTTTGGGAAATAATTTTTTAAGAATAGTATTCATTAAATCTTACTCATTTGTCAGAATCAGATAATATTGATTGATTTTTTTGTTTTTGTTTCTTTGGTTTTTTTTTATTATTTTTGTTTGTTTTTTTGTGGGGTTTGTTGTTGTTTTTTTGTTTGTTTTTTGGGGGGGTTGTTTTTTTTTTTTGTTGTTGTTTTTTTTTAATCATTTTGTTCATAATATTGATACAATGTAAAACTGAGCCTTAACTTTTTACAGTTATCAGAACTTAGTTAAAGAACAAACAAATATATAAATTTTTATGTCTTTTAAGGAAATATTTTTAAACTACAATAGCAATTGTTTGTCTGATGAAATAATTTTTTTAAAGATATTTTTTGTCATTAAAGAACAAATAGACATATACATATTTTAAAGAAGCAATTGTTTGTCAGGTGAAACTTATTTTTTCAAAAAGATTTAATTAAAGAATAAACCAATATATACATTTTAGTTAAAGAACAAAAATTTACATTAATTAATAAAGTATATGACTGTTTATTCATTTAAGATAATTATTATACCCCAATATTTGTACATGTGCTTCCAAAGATAACACCCTCCCCCAAAAAAAAAGTTTTTAAAAAAAAGCTAAAAAGAAAGTTTTAAAAATTTAGAAAATTAAAACAAAAAATATGCAAATATCACTAACATAAGCACAGTTTCAAATTTAACAATTGTAAATAACAACTCTGTAAAGTCAGAGATCAATTTTACACTATATTTATGAAAATTATAAAAATCAATAATTTTTTTTTTCTGACAAGTGTTGTGGTTCGAGAAACGTCTAACGAATGCAAATCTACAAATGTTATTTCCTGAAAAATGTTTCCCTATTTTATTTATTTTTTTTTTTTTTACAAGTGTATTTTAATGAATCATAGAAAGCTTTGTTTAGATTGAGAAGCATAAAACATTGGTTAGTAATGTTAGACTTTCAATATGTGTTCTATGCTAAAATCATGCAAAAGATAGCAAATAAATTTCAGTTTGTTATCATCAGCCAAAAATTGTAGCTCTTCTCTAAAGCAAGTTTAATTGACAATTACATTTTTATTACTCCTGCTGACTATAAATTATTTATTTTAGGGGCCGTGACAACACAGTTCGTTGTATAGTTTCCAGTCTTACAGAAGAAGGGGTTAATGAATTGTCTGATGAGTTAATAAGAGGTTTACCACACATTGTTGATGACAACACTGCAAGTGATGATGAAAATGAGGACTGGAACAAGTGGGTGCCAGATCCAGTTGATGCTGATCCTGGTAATGTCAGCTTTACACTTCTCTCAGTGCTACTTTCTTTTCTCTTTTTTTTTCTTTTCTCTATTATATCAGAAAAGTTGTCATTTTCTTAGTTTTTTTTCCATTCCTATTTTTGTTTTCATTTCAAAGGCCACATTAATAATGTTAACAGCATGGATCTGAAATTCTTTATTATTTACTGAGAAATGCAAAGTCCTATGATGACCTTTTTAATATTTTACTAGTTTTTTCTGAATACACTGCAATTTCTCAAATTTTATTTCCTGACAAAAAGTTTGTTTCCAATTAATTTCTTAATTTTCATTTAAATCCTGGTGCATAACTTGTCATAATAAATTATGATAGTTTGACAAACCTGAAAAAAATTTTTTCTCTCATAACCCAATCAACTACCAGTATAACTTTACTTACTATACCCAATGATAATCTTAAGGGGTATATTTGTCTTCAAACTTTCCATGTACTGATTGTAAAAAGGAGACAGATTTGATGATACTAGCCTGAGATTAGACCAGAAATATAACTTTAGTTGCCTCTCTTCAACTGTTATAGAGGTAAACAGTAGGTGTGTGTAAATCTGATGGGCCAAATCCATTGTGATGATTATTTTCTTTTAGTACAGTTCACTATCACTGGAGTGATATTATCAGACATATTATCAGACATTTAATTTTTTTACAAATTTTGAGATATCAAACTTCTATGTCTAATAACTGGTCCAATATTATTCACTGCTGATCTGCAACCTTAACATGGAAGAGAGCCTGCAAGAAAAGAGAGGCAGTAAACTTTAAGGGCTTTAAAATGTTAATCAGTAGTCCTCTCAGGCTTCTTTCTTTTCTATACTGCTGATCAGAGAAGTAACACATTTTTATTGTAACTACATAGTGGTCTCAATGGAAAAAGGTTCTCACTTCATACTGGTGTATTTCTTAAATAAAAGGATAGCATGAAGCATGGACTTATTTTTTCATTGAGACCAACTTGTACTCGCATTCACTATTTCTGTCTTTAACAAGGCATGGTTCTTTTATTATTTATTTTTATAAAAAGTAAACTTTTTCTTACTCAATCTGTACTGATCTTCTAGTCTTTGCAACAGCCAAATGACAGTTTGAAAAGCTGCCACAAATATAAAAATATCTAAGAAATATTTTTTTTTTCTTTAAATATTTATTAGCTTCTATGTCCAAGCTGAGAAGAACTTCGGATATAATCAGCATGTTGGTCAATATTTATGGGAGCAAGGAACTGTTTGTGAACGAGTATCGCAATTTGCTAGCAGACCGAATTCTGTCACAGTTCAACTACGATACAGAACGAGAGATCCGCTATCTGGAATTGCTCAAACTGCGATTTGGGGAAGCCCAGCTTCATTACTGTGAAGTGATGCTGAAAGATGTCACAGATTCAAGGCGCATCAATTCAATCATAAAGGAGAACAAAAAGAAAGAAGAACCTGAAAGGGAAGATGATGAGGTAAAATGATGGAGTGTCTGTTATTTCAAGATAATAGTTGTTGTTAACTCTTTTTCAGGCTGAATTTATTTGTAAATTTTATCAGTTTTATGGTAACTTAAATTTAAATTCAATTTGTGAACAATCTACTGAAGTTAACCACCCTGATTGTGTCTTTGTTTAGGGGACAAAACAATTTGTTTTTCTTTCCTTTTCCACATACTTCTTGCTTTCCTTCATTCTTCCTCTTTCACTCTATTTCATTCATTCAATCATGAAATTGCTTGATATTTGATCCATCCTCTCACCAAATAATTTCTCATTGATTCATATAGCCACTTTTCTACTCTTAATTCCCTGTTTTTTTCACCATCCATTGTAATTATAGGTACAGGAGGTAACATCCATTACAACACAATTCTCTTACACACTAGAGAGTGATAGAAACAACTGAAATATTTATTAAGCATAAAACAAAATGCTTTACAGTAAAAATTCACCAGATTCTGCATTAAATCCTGTACTGTAGCCATTGTTGTGGATGATTTTAGATAATATCCAAAAGCCTTTTACTGCTACTGTAAGGGATATTATTATATGTGATGTGTGTTTAATTTGACTGCATGTAGAAAAAACATCCTCCATACACTTATATTATTCTTCAACAAAATGAACAGGAAAGCATAAAACAAAATTGAGAAAAGACAAAAGCAATATTTTGGTTAACAATTTTCATTATATTGCAAAAGGGTTTACAATGGTGTAGATTTTTGATTGCAATCTTGTAGTTTGTTTAATTAATGTTAAACTCAAATTGTGTGCTTGACTGATGTTTGTGAGTTTAACTATGAAGTTAAGTTTTGTAGAATTTGTGATTAAAGTTTCAAAAAGTGGAATGAAGTAGAAACTTTTCACTTTGAAAATTAAACTCTTCATTTAAGCAATAAATTTACATTAAATGTAGAATGTTCTTGAACGCTTGGAAGATGTAATGTTAATTCACTTGCAGGAATAAGTTTATGCTGCTGTGTGAATGAATTAATGAGTAAGTGGAAATTTCTTGAAGTTTGTAGTATGTTCACTAGAAACGTTGAAACTTAAGATGAAGTGACATAGTTTTATGCAGCAAATAGCCTGAAGTCACAATGTTCACTGGTTAGGTTGAATCAATTTTCTGTATTTATTCACTTAGGTAGGCTCAGAAAAAAAGAGGAGCCAAATTTTAACTTGGTTACACACTGGAAAAAAGGCTTGTGCATGGGTGGATTGCAATGCTCACTTGTGTGTTTATTGACAAATTAGAACTTGAGTTTTTTGAAAATATGTATAAAGCTGCATCTGTTCATAAACTCTCTGTGATCCACTTTTTGCAAAAAATTGGACAAGTTATTTTTAGCTATTTGAAATGATGTAGAATTAGAATTCTACACTACTGTATTAATAATATATCTCATTCTTCACTTTACCAAGTTTAACAGCATTAGTAAAAATGTAAAACTGTCAGATCAGTTGATTCCTGTTATTCATTTTATTGGATTTTTAGTGAATACTATATACTAAAGTAATAAAAATGTCTGATTAATAAATAAAAATCCATTATTTCTATAGAATAGGTAGCCATGGTTAAATGTAAATTACAGAACTGCCCAACAAACAAAATTTGTAATAAACAAAAGAACAGAGCAAAAAATATTAAGCAAGTAAACAATATAAGCAAAGCAACAGTAATAATAATACAAAAAGCTCACAAATCAAGAATGGTGTTAATGCACGAGAGGGAAGTAATCACAATGTTTGTTCTGGCTTCAAGATAAGAAAGACCTGGACTATCTTATTGGCTAGGAAGAAATCCCAGCATGCATTTGTGTGGTTTTGCCTATAAATTAGAGAGGGGGAAGTATTTTGCAGCCATTCCCAATTAGGATGAATGGGTTGTGAATCTGATTATCTAGGTTTAGGATAGTAAGTGTTGATCAACCTCTCATTACTTTCCCTTTTGTCCTTGGGGCACAATTATATGAAAGTGCAATAAATAGACATTCCCAATTAGGATTGAAACCAACAACTTTTTTAGAAAATGCTTGTATTAATAAACTACAAAAAATACTAGCAATTTTTTTCATTTGATATTCTCCTTTAAGAAGATTTTCTACAGCAGCATGTCCTCCACTTATGTTTATACAACAACCTCATTTAGTAACACTCTACCTTGAGTGGATCTTTGGCCTTGTATTGGGTGAACAATAGCTTTTCTTTCTTTTTTTTAATTGAATTTATTTCCCCTAATGTTTAAAATTTTATCTCTTAGATCAACTTGTGAACCTCTTTTTATGTAAATTTACTGAGTTACTGAAGCAAGAAAAAGTATCAGTAATCCATTTTAAATAGTTCTCTGTTGTCAGTTATTTTATTGCACTCCAGATTAAATTCAGTTATGATTGCTTACTATTTTACTATCAAGTGGTTCTTGATGTTTTTTTTTTGTTTTTTTTTTTTTTCTGGCACTGAAATCTCCACAGGTATGATTTCACCTCTTCTTCCCCTCTCCAGCTATGAGTTAATTAGTAAGACTTGTATCACTAAATCATTATCTTAAAAAAAATTCTTACAATCTAAAAATGTTTCTGACTTTAAATAACCTGCAAAAGGTAGATAAGCTATAAAAAACAAATCAATATCTCCACTGGTTTTTTACTATAATTAATAGTTTTTTGGGTTTTTTTTTAATTTGGAAAAAATACAACTTTTTGAAATATTTACATTTTCATATATTGGTAGATAATGTTCATCCCAGAACTTTGATTTTCAACTGGTATGCTGTGAAAATTTTTAAAGGTTATTAAATTATTTTTGAAAAAATTCGAAGCACAATAAGTGTACGCATCAAAATAAAACCCCCTTTAAATTGATTATACAAGTATATCATTGTTATAAATATTACCTCATTTTGATTATCCCTTAAGTGTTAATTTACAAATATTACAAAAAATGCAATAGAAATATTTCTTCCATTCTCAGCGTCATATTTGTGCAAAGCAAGTTTTTCTGCAATAAATAGTATTAAAAACAAAAATCAATCACAAATAGAATCCCTGGAAGAAGATTTACAAGTATGCCTATCCAAAATTTGACCTTGCAAAGATATTAACAAAAAAAAAAAAAAAGGTCAAGTTCAGATATCTCATTAAATGTTAAATTATAATAAACGGAAAAATAAATATTTACCAAATTTATATTGTCAGACTATTGTCCTCATCTTTATTGTCATTTTCACAACATTTTGACCAATGTACGCTCCAGCCTTCTTCAGGTGATATTTGTTTGAAGTAATTATAAGATTTTTAAGAACTTTAGTTATCTTTTCATTATAAATTATAATAAATTGTGTGGAATTCTTGAGACTGATGGCATTGGCACCATTGAAAAGTGTCTAAGATCAATGCCCAGGTTGACCCAAGCCTTGTGAAGGAAATTGAACAGACGAAGTTGCCCATGGTCATGCTAGCACAAAATCACAAATCATTATGACTGAGATATTGAATAAACTGGCTTTGTTCACCTGCCAGTTGTGCTAGGTTATGCTCCCCCCCATATCCCAGAAACTGTGACTAAGGTTCACTCTGTATAGTTACAGTATAAACCACAGGTTAGTTGTGGTGAGTGTTGATGAAATGTGCTTGAGCAGGCATCTGCAAAAGGGATTAGCTAGCCATCCAAGCAGATGAGTGCACCTGGAAATGAGCAACCATTTCTTTTCACCTGCTTTTTTCTTTAGCTTCCTTTCCTTCTCCACACCATCTTTCTCATCTTTTCCCTCAATTTTTCCTCTTCCTTCTCACATAATTATTATTATTATATAGGTTTCTTGGTCAGAAAGCATAATTGATTTCATATCAGATGGGCCATGGATTAAACAGATATTATCTTTGATCCTTGGTAGAAAATAATGTTGGACATACAAACAAGCAGAATAATAGTATAGACTAGCAGTAGAGCCCGGCGTCGCCCGGGGATGTAACAGTAAGAGATAGATCAAGTATCAACCATCATAAAGACTGAAAAATAAAATTGACAAAGATTATTGTTTAAGGTTGACGGACACACATGTCTTAATTAGTTTTTTTTTGTTTTTTGGGGGTTTTTTTTACGAATTGGTCAAACTCAAACAAAAACAGTTTTCAATCGTTATGAGTCTACTGATTGAATAGAATTTTATTATAAACAATTGTCTTGTAAATGGAATTTTTAAAGCATTCTGAATGTAAAAATAAAGAAAAAAGTGTGCAAGACAATAAGAAACACTACCTGCCAAAAAAAAAGTGAAGTTTTGTTGAAATCAGTTGAAAAATGTAGGAAATCCGATCCATATATAAAGGAACACACACACACACACACACACACACACACACACACACACACAAACAACCTGGGTTTTATAATAAGTATAACTCGATATGAGTTGTCCCCCTTTTATTCTGGTGACAATGATGCCTCTTAATCGTGTTTTCAAATTGATTTCGTTCAAAAACAATTGTTTTTTCAATTTTTGGCGCTGTCAGAACCACCGCAAGGTAATTTTACATAGTTCTGTGAAGTTTTGTTGAAATCAGTGGAAAAATGTAGGAAATCCAATCCTATATATAAACGAACAGACACACACAAACAACCTGGGTTTTATACTAAGTATGATACATGTTATTAACTCTGCCCACATTTTTTTTTCTTTTAATAATCTTGAAAATTTTCTTTATTTATATACTTTTCCAATCCCTAAAATGCAAAAGGTGCTAGCAATTCTCTCTTTTTACAGTAAGGTTATAAATATAGATTGTTACAATTTTTTTTTTTTTTTTTTTTTATTGTTTCAAAACTGCACTTGAATTTTATGCATAGATGAGAAATAAAATGTATTAATTGTTCAACTTCTTCTCATTTTTCTTTAAGGATATTGAAATCAACTCCATGATTCTATCTGCTCAGTTTTGGCCAACATTCCGAGAAGAGAAATTAAATTTACCAGACAGCATGCAAAGGTGTCTGGAAAATTACACCAAAAAGTTTGAATCCCTCAAAGGAAACCGAACACTTATCTGGAAACCCCATTTAGGTAAGTCTATACTGTATATCAGTTGATAAACCCTAGCTAAATTTAGCTAGACATTGATTTTCAGATGATTCTTTCATTACAATTTTTCTTGACATTGAGAAGATATCTCTATGATTACATCTCTCTTTTTATATAAAATTCCAGTTGATTTTTTTTCATTCACTTCACACTAATGCCCTTGGAAAAGGTATGAATTCATCTTCTATATGTTAAGTAATAGGGCAGATTCAGCAACAAGCAAATATTGCTGAATATCATCATTGGCAGAACTCATTGCTAAGTAATTGAGTGTTCATTGACATTTCCTTCTGTGTGAAATGAGTCTTATATTGGATCTGAAGAGACGTCCACAGTCACCACATGGTAGGGTAGGAGGGTTGAAGGGATGGAGAGCTCTGGCTTTTCTTTGTCTTTTCGTGGACTGCTCTTCTCCATTTGGTTCTTTAGACATGAGAAGAAAAGTCTGAGCATGAAAGCCTTGGCTGCAAAACTTTTTGAGGTGGTCCATGGCACACACACTTCAGCTGACACTATCTGCTGAGGCAAACCAGGGTTTAACAAGCAAGTTCATTATTTACATTATTCAGACTATTATCCTCATCTTTGTCACCATATTTATTATAACATTTCAGCCATTGTACGCTTCAGCCTTCTTCTGGTGGTTGGAATGTCAAACTGAACCCTTTATTTTGCTCAGTGGGGTAAACTGTTCTAGTTCCACGTGCCATGTTTGATGGATGTCAGTTATCACCTGTTAATTCCCCTCTCCAAGTTCTCCACTGCCTTAACTGGTTATTGAACTCACACTCTTTTTTTCCTGTCATTGGATCTAACCAATGCCTTTATCCACTGTACCATGTGTCCTCAAAGACACATGGCACAGTGATAGTCCGAATAATGTAAATAGTGTACATAATACCTCATCTCAGAAATATAGACAGGCAAGTTTACAATGACAGCTTGCATCAGGCTGTCAGCGTGCTTGCTGAATATATAATTGAATAAAATGTAATTGTACTTATTTCCACTATTTACATTGTTCAGACTGTTGTCCTCATCTTTATTGTCATATTAACTATGTTTTGGCCATTGTATGTTCCTGTCTTCCTCAGGTGATATATGTTGGAATTTCAAACCAACTAGCCATAATGGTCATCATATTGTGAAGATGACAATAAAGATGAAGACAACAGTCCAAATAAATGTAAATAGTGGAAATAGTTACAATACCTCATCTCAGAAATAGACATGGTAATTGTACTTAATATTAAGTAAACCAAAATAGAAATTATTTATGACTCAACCTGAATTGTTGACTTTTTCTTTTTATTCATAATGTTGAAAGACAATAAGAGGTTAAACTAGAGATAAGGTTATTGGAGGGGGGGGGTCTTATATTGCCTGACCACCACAGACCACTGACATGACCATTATGGCTAGCTGGTCATTTTTTCATACATATTTATAGTCAAAACCTTGTAATTACACATATAAATCATATTACCTGATTATATGCTTTGCTCTCATTGAATAATGCTTAATGTTGATGTGTTCCATTGACACGTACTACTGTGTTACTCAATATGATACAAGAACAAAGATCTCTATCTATTGACAATGTATTTTTTTGAGAAAACTTGGATAGTTTAAAGGTATATTCAAATACACAAATAATATATAAAACATGTTGAAGCTAAAACTGCTTTCTTATAATCGCATTTGTGTTTTTATCCTCCAAAAAACCAAACCATTAAGAACCTCTACAACTGCTGCCCCATCTTTATTTTTTATATCCTAGCTTGTGAATGTGTAGTAATGTTGGATGTGCAGGTGGTGTAACAAATATCAGCATGAAAAATGGAATCGGTGAACTGAGTTCAACTTCCAGTCTTATCTGTTGGGTTCACTTTCATACTAATGCTCTTGAGAAAGGCATGAATCCATCTCTTCCCCCCAAATCTATGGATTAAATAGCAGTATAAACCAGGCTCTCTATTATTGAGTGGCAGCCATTCTAAAAGAAGGAAAACAGAAAAGCAAGCAATGGCAAATGCAACAAGAAATCACTCCAGTTTTTTCAAAGAATGCATTGTAATTTGATGATAATAAAGAAAAGGAATTTGTGGAGAACTATGATTTTCTATGTCCTGAAGTAATGTTTGGAAAGCAATATGTTGAGAGAATAAATTTTTATTAAATTATTTTTCTTTTTCTTTATAGGACTGGTGAACATTGATATTGAATTGAAAGAACGAACTCTAAACCTGAATGTTTCTCCTGTTCATGCAGCAATCATTATGCAATTTCAAAATAAAGGTAAACTGATTCTAACAGAACTTTTAAGGTTCTTCTTTTTTCTTTCTTTTAATCACCCCAAGCAAGGCAGTAAAGCCAATAAGACACAAACACAAAGGGTTACTGGATGTGAAAGAATTACAAAACAGAAAACATTACAAACACGTGAGAACAATAGAAGAGTAATCTAGAAGACAGTAAATAACGATTGAAATTGCATTTAAATTTTTGAAGATCAAAGTTGTGCAGAAAGCATGGAGCTGGAAGAAAGTTCCACAAGCAAAAAGTGCGAGAAAAGAATCTGTTAGCATAGAACTTAGTTACATTTAGCCAATTCAGCTGTAAATTGATGAGACCTTTTTGCCAATCTAGTACTGCATTTAAATTCATAAAGTCTAGGTACCATAGTGAAGAGCTCATCTAAACAATTACCATGAAAGTATTTATAGAAAAGGCACAGGGAAGTAACTTTATGGCAGTGAGAAATTGACTCAAGCTGAAATGCCAGATCAGGACCAATAATATTGCTGATTCTCCTTTGGATTTTACTACAAATCTCATAATTCTTTCTATGTCCTATAGAAGAATAAAAAAAAGTCACAATTGTCTATTTTCAAAAAATCAAATATGTCTATACTCTTAAATATGTATTTGTTTTTATGTGTCACAATGATTTCAAAATGGTTGATCAAATTTTCATTAAATAATAACAAAATAAGTGATAGTGAATCATATTTAGATGTAATCTGGTTCATCTTTCTTTCTTTTTTTTTTTTTCATGTGATTTACAAAATGAAGATGAAATTAATATTTCACTTAATTGTATTTTTAATGTCTAATATCTAAAAATTATTAGCATTTTTTACAGTCAATGTCCTTATCTTTGTTACTATTACATTTCAGCCTTCCTCAGGTGTATGTTGATCCAATTAACCTTCAGAGAATTTTGTACTGCACCCTTAATTAATCGACAGGTGTTGTTCTCTTTCCACTGTCTGTTTATGGATATCTCGTCTTGTTCTGTTTTTTTAGTACTGCTCAATTACTGCTAGTCTTGCTTCCACTGTGTCTGTACTACTCAGACGTGGTGAGGCTGTGGTCCTGTGCTCTCCAGGGGAGTTTAATGGTGCTAAGAGGAAGGAACCTTCAAGAAGCTTTAAATAGAATTCTTATTTTTTACCTTGTTACCCCAACACACATGCATTTTCTTCTTTTTCTACTTTCCTTTTTTTTTCCTTTTTCCTTTGTTAATTTTTACCACTGCTTCTATTAATAAAGTTTGCATAATTATACTCATAATTACACATGCAGCCAAAAAAAAAGATTTCTTGAATAAAATAAGTCTATTTAAAGCTCTTTGAATATTATCTAATAACCCCTTTGAAAGATGGTTAGTTCACCAACTGAAACATGATCAAACAAAAGATACTAGTTTCAATATTAGTTTGTTGAAGAAGTGCTCAGGAATTTCATTTGGACAATATTAGGGAAATTTTAGTGCCTTTGACATTTTAATGTTTTTGTTGCTAGGGCAATCAGCCAACTCCAGTTCATAATTTACAAACTTCAGCTAAAATTCAGAAGCTCAGAAAATGGATTACACCATGAGCAAGAAGGAACAAGTCAACATTTTATATTGATCACCCAATACAAGGCCCAAGAGCCACTCAAGATAGGTTGTTTTATTGGTTTATGAATTGTAGATTATAAGGATATGTAGAATAGATAATGGTTGACTCTAAACTTGAAGAGGTTAAGATTACAGTGATCAGAGAAGCATCCTTTTAGGAGTCTGTTCCTCAAAGCATCAGCTCTTGGGAAGCAGACCAAATAGAACTTCCTCCTTGCCAGTGCAATATGGAGGGAAGAGGCCTCTGTGTATATGACATGTTTCTAAGCACTGAATCTATTTCATTTTCATTAAGTTTATATTTTATTTTGTTTTTGTTTTTTTAAATATAACAACTATTTCAAGACAAATTTTATATACTAATGTAACAAATCTTACGAGATAACTATACTGTTATAGGGAATTTATATCTATAGTATCATATTTTACTCTTTAAAAGTAATCAGGCCTTCTTGGAATTTTTGTTTTTAAAAATATTAAGTAAAGTATACCTTTACTTGGTTAAAATATAGTTTCTATAAACCTTCAGCATTTGATAGGTGATTTATTCAGCAAGCAAAAAGTTTGTTCTACTATTACAAGTGACTCTGATCACTGAAAAATAGTATGTTTAAATTTCTTAGTTGTAGTGTTGTGCCCTGCTATGGCAACAGAAAGACCAAAGAGAAATCATTTGTCGAATTATTGCAATTATAAGGCCTCAAAAAAGAATGCAGTGGAAACTGAAATAATACTAGTGAATAATGCAGAGGGCTAAAGGTTTTAATAGGTATTACAATGGGTGGCAATTCAATCTTGCTGGCCATTACAATGACTGTGTGTTTGTTTCTCATTTGTTGCTCTATACTTGATTTGATTGTTTAAGTAAAGTAAGTATGAATATGTTCAGCAAAATAGATCTTGTAGAAGAACAGCCATAAAATATTTACTCCAAATAACAATTTTTTTTTTTTTTTTTGTATTTTTCTTGCATGTGTTATAGATCAATGGACTGTAGAAGAACTCAGTGGGGTTCTTCAAATCCCAGCCACAGCTCTTCGGAGAAAAATAGCTTATTGGCAAAGTCAAGGTTTACTGAAAGAAGAAGCAACTGATACTTTCATCCTTGTAGAAGAACAGAGAGCTAATTCTGATGACATTATGCTAGCTGATGAAGAAGAGACTGAATCAGCCATGGCTTCAATGAGGGCTCAGTTGGATGAACAAATGCAGGTAATTAAACACTTGAAATATTTTACACTAAAAAATTATATTTAATCATTACAAACTTCATTAAAGATTCTTTTTTAATATATTGCATGTATATTAAAAATGTATATTGATAAATGTATAAACAAACAATACAACTACTGCTTCGTGTTTACCAATTATTTGGGTATGACAATAAATTACATCTGGTAACAAGGACTCTGATTAGAGATTTTGAGGAGCATGATACCACCTCTTAATTGCTGTTGTTCCCAGGGCCACCCTAACCCAGGATGGTTGTACCTGTTAGTGTTCCAACTATAGTTAAATAGTGAACCCACCAAACAAAAACAAAGCACTATGAAAGTATAAAAATACATTTCTATAGTAAAAATACCAGCAATACATTTTTCTATAAAAAAAAAAAAGTACCAACAATATATTTATTTGTAGTTGAAGCCATGAAATTGTGTTCAAAATATTTAGATTTCTGCATAAAATAACCCATAGAGGTTAATATGCTGCTAAACAAAATCAACTAACCATTGACTAATTAGAAGTCAGCCAATTACAATCTCCTGATAAAAATGCTTTCATTCAACTCATTAATGTTAAACACTCTTAATTTATTTTGAAATTAGAATTTTATTTTTATTTTTATATTTCATTTTTTTACTTTTTATTGATTGATTCATTTTCTACAGTTTATCAACCCTTTGCAGGTTATTTTAAAGCCATATTTTTTTTTTTTTTTTTTTTTTTTCTTTTTGAGGTCATAATGATTTAGTGATACAAGTCCTACTAATTAGCCCATAGGTGGGGGAGAAGAGGTGGATTCATACCATTCCCAATTGTATTTGCGCATAAGTGTATATAATGAACCCAACTGGGGTCAAAATTTAGCTTTCTTATTAACTATTTTGAGCCATTATCCATTGCACCCACCACACATCCAAGATTACATCAGCTGGTATTCCCAAACAGTCACCGATCTAGGTACTGATCAGATTCAACATTGCTTAACTTTGGTGATTGTACAGGAACCAGTGTTTCAACATGATGTGACTGTAAGCCATTATTTCATTTTTGAGATGAGAAATTGTCATAAAAATACTTTAATTATTTCAAACTATTGTTCGCATCTTAGTTATTATCAATGTTATCATAGACACGTTTTGACCAAATACTTTCTAGCCATCTTCAGGTGTCCATTGTTTTTAGCTGATAAGAGAGAGAGCTGTTATCTCTTATCTTGTCCCTTTGATGCCAATTCTTGTCTGAACCCTTGTATATTCTCTCACTGATTCAGAGATTGAACTCATGACCACTAGATGACAACAACACATGTTTTAACCAACTCTTATATCCACTATGTCACTATAAAAATAGGTTGACGCTATACTTGAAGAGGTTAAGAATGTAGTGATCTGCGAAGCATTATCTCAGAAGTCTGTTCCACGAAGCATCAGCTTTTACAATAAAACTGTCCAAATGGAACTTCCTCTTTACCAAATACAAAGGCAATGCAGATGATTTGACCCTGTGTACATGGCATGATGGGTCTTAGCTGTAAAGTTCTGGTGGAACTGTGACAATGTGCTCTGCTTACCTGTCACTGCACAACCTGATGACATCCAAGGTCAGTTGTATGCATATACACCCAGCCAGCTATGTTCACAGGTTTGTCCACTTGGCTAAAATCAAATTCAACAAAGAATAAAGACAGTTGCTTTTCAAGACTCTCTGATTGGAAAATGACAACAATACAAATTCTCACTTAGCCATCTATGTTTTCTTTTGGCTGAACTGCTATCTCCCTAACTTCCAGACACAGGAAGAGGACCCTTACATTCACTGACCGTCTAGGCAACCACTAATTTCTCACTGGTCCCTTCCTTACTGGGCACTTACTCACTTACTTCTGGATACCTACTTATTTACTGAATTCCTGCCTGTCTCTACTTATATGGATACTGGCTGGGGTCTGACCACCCCTATCTGTCCCTTTGTGTTCCAGAACAAGAGACCACTCATTTGGCCTTTTTGGGTGGTCAGCTTCTTCAAAGGACTACTTTTATGATTATCTTAAATCATTGACAAAATTTTATGTTTTACAATTCAAAGTTAGCTGGAGACAGAAATCCTGAAAACTCTGGCTCTTAAGTTGATTCAAAAATGGACTGGAGCTGAATTTCCTAAGAAACTCAGATAATTAAGTGAACTTAAAAGGAAAAGGAATTTATCTACTTATCTCCTAGTGATGTGTGAGAAAATGTATTGTTACAGAACTAAGGATTGTAGCTCCTCGGAACATTGTCACTATGATCTGAACCTCTTCAAGTCTAGAGCCAACAATATATCCTATATATCCTCATAACATGCACTGTTTACTTCCTCCTTTTATGCTCTTACAACAACCACATTCAGTAATCCTCTAACTTGAGTGGTTCTTGAACATTGTGTTGGATGGACAATAGTATTGAGAAAAATCTCATTTAATACTAGTCACATCAGTAAAAATAAGCAAATTTAAAGTCAAAGTTCAATGTTTGGGATTTTTTTTTTTTAGAAAAGAGTTATCAGTTCAATTTTTTAAATTTGTGTATAAATTTTCATGAAAGAATACTGATATTTTTTTTTATTTTTTTTTTTTTTTCAGGTTTTCTGGACATACATTGTAGGGATGCTGACCAACTTAGAAAGTCTTCCAATTGAACGTATTCATTCTATGCTACGCATGTTTGCTGTACAAGGTCCCTCCACTGTTGAGTGTAGCATTGGTGAACTCAAAGCCTTCTTGGATAAAAAAGTGAAAGAACAAAAGTTGATATATTCATCTGGAGTTTATCGTCTCTCACGAAACAACTAATAAGCATCCGAAAAGCTAAAAAAAAAAAAAGTACATGTTTATTTATAATTTAAATATTATTTCATGACAAAATTGTTCCAAATATATAAATATAAATTTTTGAAACTCTTCATTTGTTGTTTTTTTAGTAAACAAACATTAACCTGTTCACTGCCACAGATAAGATAATAAACCTTAGTAAATCCTCAGTTCAGTGCTCAAAAACCAGGGACTTTTGTGCCCACAAAATAATGGAATGTCAATGTTTTTTCCTTTGACACCACTATTAATTTAACTACCTTCACTCCTCAGCAATATTTGTTTTAAAAAGTGATTAGAATTGTAATAAAACCTAAACTTATGATGAAAGTGACTTTATACATTTCTTTTTGTTCTTGAGAACTTATAAAAAAAAAAATATTAAATACTATTTATTATCTTATTTATTTACAAGAATAATTTTATATTTACAACATTCTAAAAATTAATAAAATTGCATTAAAGCTAATGTAATGCAATATTTATCATTGACCGACTTATGAAGAAATAAATATGAAAACAATTTTTTATTTATAAACATTTACTAAATTATTAAAATATATGAACCAACTATAATGAAATAATTATTATTTAAGATTTGGTAAAGTGTGATCCAATTGGCAATTAGCCGATGTTTTGCCAACCATTCCAATAAACAATATAATTGTAAATAATCTAATAAATAGAGCTTATTTTTGTTGTCATTTCTCAAGAATAAAGAAAATGTATGAATTCATTTTCATATGTTTAGGGTTTATTAAAATTCTAATCTTCACTTTTTAAAATGAGAAACATTGCCAAGGAGTGAAGGTAGTTAATAGTGGTGTCAAGGGAAAACTGCCCTTTTGACACACTTTTTTTTTTTGCAAGTACAAAAGTTGAAGATTGTTTATAACTCGTATAACAGTCTTTCACAAGATGGCAAAACCATACCAGAAATTGTAAAGTAATTTGAGTCAAGTACAAATTCTGGCCTAGTCTGTTGTGTTCACTTTCTTGAAATGCCATTGAGAAAGGCAGGAATTCATTTTTTTTTTTTTTCATTTCCTGCCTAGGATTTTAATAAAAAAGTAGACAGAGGGCTCTTGAATCTTGGATGGTAATCCATCTAGAAGAATTATATCTCTGGCTTCAAAACTGGAGAAGGCAACAGGAAATCACTCCACTATCTGTTCCAAAAAGTCATAATAATTACTCCTTACTATCAGTCTGTACACAACAATCAGGAAAATGCCAACACATTACTCTCAAAATGAAATGCCATAGTCAACTATGATCTTCAAAAATTTGTGAGTTGTCAACATCTGTATTTTTCAATCCTGATTTTTATTATCCCTTCAACTCAGTAACATTTTCACAGTGTTTCTTTCTCCTTGCATCTTAGTGGCTTTATCACCTTGCTTGGAGTGAAAAGATTCAAAAAAAATTTTAAATAAAGAAATCTGTGGTGAGCTATAATTGCCTATATCCTGAAGGATCTGACAAAAAGGCAAAACAAGAAGAAAGTAGATATGAATGTTCTGAATGTAAGCTGGTCTTATGTGTAGATCCATGTTTTAAGATATTTCATATTCATTTAAATAAAATATTTTAACAAATGTATATTTAGTGTGTTGGCTACTTCTATAATTAATGTATAAGGTCTCTCTGGGTATATTTACATGAATAATGGGGATGAAATAGTAAATGCACAAAATAACAGATTGATTGATTTGCAATACAAGAGTAACAAAAGGAAAGCTTAAGAGTTTACCTAGAAATAAATGGAATACACAACAAAAATTAATGTATTTGGTTGTGACTTGCTTATGTAGGAGTGTTTGTATGTGAAACATCTACTGCCCTTTTTGCTTTGGTGTGAAAAGTTGATGGCTCACATTTCAAAAGGAGGAAAAAGAGAGTTACATGTTCGTCTGTTTTTATACCCTCCAGGCTGTTGCTGATAATGTTTATTAACACACATATATATCACATTGACATTCTGTTGTATGTAGTTGATTTGTAGGAAACTAAAACCATTTTAAACATGTAATGAAGATATTTGTTTTATTTTTTCACAAGTAAAATCTAGCATGAAAAATATACTTGGTACATAGTGAACAAGTTAAAAAAATAAAATAAATGCCAAATGTTTTTTTTATGCAACTAAAATTTTCAGCTATAATACAGACAAGATTTTTTTTTTGCCTAATTCTGGTACAATTGGTAAGAAAATTGTTTATTTTCATATTACTCTATAATCATTGATTACCTTTTACATTTAAGCCAATTGTTTCAAGTAAAATGGTATTAAAGTTCCTAGACAAGAATCTTATAATAGAATCACAGAGGTTGAACTGCAAATTAGCTCAGTTTCTGTTGAATCTCTGAAAATATTGATCTATTTTCAGAAGTCCTGAGAAGAAAATTTAAAAAAAAAAAAATACAAACGGTTTTTGACCAATCACTGACTCTTGTGTATTTCAAGAGAATCCCTAGGAACCACTTTACTTCAAAATTTTATGTTCTTATTTGTTCAGTATATTTAATCTTTCTTCACTTTTCCTCAAATATTCAAGTGTAGCAGAGTTACCACGTCAACCAAGATTTTAATCATGTACAAATATTGTTCTGTGGCTGGAGTGAACAAAGCAGTAATTCTAAATGAATGAAAATGAAAATGGGGATATAAAAAGTTGAGAAAACCATGATGGAAAAAGAAACCAAACAGAATAGTTAATTAAAACATAAAAAATGCTTGATTTAAATCTTTGGGATTAGAATTGGTAAATTGAAATCTGTGTTCCGCATTTAAAAGAATGTCTACCTGACATTCCTCAAATGACCAAGTGAGCATAAATTATTTGAATATTTTCCTATTCCCCAAAATACATTTATTTATCATCACTCAATCATCCTTTGGAAAATAAATGTATTTATGGGTTTATCTAGTGGTGGCTGGCTTTCAGCTAGTCAGTTAAGGGCATCTGGTTTTTGTCAAAATAATTTTCTTTCTTGAAAGAAAAGGTTTACATAACAATTCCTCTATTTGAAGACTATATAAGCAGAGAGGTCCACACTGGCAGAACTACTAGGAGAGAGAAAGCCTGCATTGTCCCCTGGACGTTAGAGTTAGAAGAACAAAGTTAAAAAGGAAGAAATAGGCTTACAAGTACAGAGCTGAAAGAAGAAAAATTGCTAGCATTGTTAGACTGACAATTCATAGTTAAAGGTATGTGTAGAGAAATCCTTGTATGGAGACTAGTGTTCATTCCCGCTAGAAACAAAAAGAAGGAAGAAGATGGAATTATGTAGTAATTGCCACTAATAAATATTTATCAAAATGGGCTTATGATTTGACTTCATTTTCAGCAAAAAACTTTACCACAGGCCTGTTGGATATTCAATTGGTAATAACACCACCATTTGTGACATAACAGAGAAAAGTTGGCTATCATAACCTGTTGGAGCTCCAATTTTTTTTTAATACAAATGAAAGTTCTCACTCTGACATCCACAGCTCATGACAAAAACAAACTTTAATTTCATCCAGCTTCATAAACCCACTTCCAGAATACTGCCCAAAATACCAGGGTCATAAACCATCTTTTCTGACCAATAAGAAAAAGCACAATACAGTTTTCAAAGCAGATGTTTCTGAGCCACTGACAGACTATAAAACCAACACTGATTTCACCATGAGGGCAGAGCTAACCTGGTTGGCATTAGCAACAAACCTCACAATGCAGAAGACTACATGACTGTCCAAGCTATCATTTCCATTGACAGCAATTCTTTCAGTCAGTGACAAAACCAGTGTCAACAGCAGAGACTAATTCTTAACTAATACAATGCAATAATATGTGTTAGTTTTCTTCCCATGTCTATCTTGACTACTACCTTGGGCTAGATCCCAAAAGTCTCCCATGATTGATATATAATATCCTGGAAGAAGCAAAAAATCAAGCGTTATAAATCACAGGAAATAAAAACACATTTTACCTATCTCAGCCATGTCTTATTTCCATTTGTTGTATTGTCACTTCAACAATTTTTTCTTGTTAACAGAAAGGCTGCTGTTACACAACATAGCAGAACAGATTATGACTGGTGTTGCAACATTCACAACTTGCCATTCCTCCTGAATAAAATATCTGAAAATTTGGAAAACTTATTTTGATTTGTTTTGCTAATCAGAAAAATCTCCTGTCATCATAGTGCTGGTCGCTTTCCAAGGCATGCAGCAATAAATGACATCATTAGAAGGTGTCTAGATGCAGCTGGGTTCACTTCCCAAATTGAACCCATAAACCTCAACCATGGTAATGGAAAGTGGCTGGATGGCATTACCATTTTCCCTTTTAAAATAGGAAAGTCATTGATTTGGAATGCAACCTGTTCCGATACATTTTCGACCAGTAATTTGATCAGGTCCATGGTTGAGCCGGGATTTTTCACTCAGGACACAGATAAAAAAAATAGTTAAATATTCTTCTCTTGCTCATAGATTTATTTTTACTCCAGTGGCAGTGGAGACTTCTGGGGTTATTGGCCCTCGATTGATGGCATTCATTCGAAGGATTGGTGGGATGGTGTCTCAATTAAGGGACAATCCTCACAAAATGGATTGGCTCTTGCAGCATGTCTCACTGGCAATGGTGCAAGGTAATGCTTTCTCCATCATTGCGGCTGGCAGAGGATAGCAAAAAAAACATTTTGTTTATAGTTACTTCGTTCAAACTTTTTTCAATAAAGTAATTGTTGGAAAAAATATTTTCACATGCAAAAAGAAAAAAGTCAGAAAAATAGATTTCATGTCAACAAAATCTGTATTAGTGAAACAAAACATAACTTGCATTAGTCATGTGAATGTAAAAAGTCAAGCATTCAGTTGAGCTTGCTAGATGTAGCCATAACTTCTATGTTGACAGTTTCTTTTCTCACACTTCTCGTTTGTAGAAAACCCTTCCAGCTACATGCTTTCTAGCCAACTTTAATCTGCA